GGAAGCCTAGGCTCAGAACACACTTGAGGTCAGATTCCTGTTAGGACATAGTACAGGTGCAGTATTTAATTTCAGGCTAAGAAAGATAGCTGTTAGTACATACCTGCAGCTCCTAATAGCTGAGGCCTAAGAGTATAGACTGAAAAGAAAACTTCTCCATTGCTAAGAAGGCTTGGGAACAGGTGAGGAGCAAACCCCAGGGGGTGAGGAGGACAAAGACATGTGCATGTGACCCTCAGGATGCCCATGTGCAAGCCACTCCTCCCTTCACCACTACCGTCTTAGAGTAGCTCAGTCTTCACAGACTTAGGGAGCTACAGGTCAGAACCAGATCACTCCACCAGTCTTCTAGAGTAGAACGGATACCCATTATTAAGCTTGTGTCTTTACCTGAACCAAATATATTCTTTGGCTAAATATGCCCTGGGTCCCCATTATAATCACTCAGACATACTTCATATCTTACATGTAAATTAAAATGTTTAAAGTTCAACTTGAACCATGGCACATCATATCAATTTGAGCTCAGCAATGTATCTAATTTGGACTTTTTTTTAATTTCAGAAAATCAGTGTTTTCAGAACATAGTTATATACCAAGTCAGAGGATATATCCACTTATATTTTAAAATCATTTAAAACATTATTATATCTTCAAATCCACCTGTTTTGTAGAAGAATTTATAGGAAGTTATGTTAAAAACTCATATCCAAACCAATTCCTTATTCTCTAGTTTAAAAAAACAACAAAACCCTAAGAAGTATTGAGGTTCCTGCTGCCTTAACACTTAATATTTTATTCAGGAACCAATAACGACAATTATCCATCAAAGACAGCTAACTTAGTAAGGTCTAATGACAACCACCAAAAAGACAGAGGTGGCAAACAGGAACAAGTAAAATTGTAATAGACAAAATAGTATTTTAAGGGTTTAATCAACATGGTCTACTAGGAATCTCAGACTTGAAAGCAACAGCTATTTCCCTTCAATACTTGAGGGGTTCATACAAGTATTAACAGAAATGGGAAATATGGTAAAATTACAAATATAGACTGGACCTTTTTTGTAAAAGAGAAAGTTCAGTCAAAGACAGTAAGGAGCCTGGCTGTCATAACTCAGTGGTTGAGCCTCAACCCATGAACCTGGAGGTCACAGTTCGATTCCTGGTCAGGGATGTCAATTGACGATTCTCTCTTATCATTGATGTTTCTATCTCTCTCTCCCTCTCCTTTCCTCTCTCTAAAATCAGTAAGAAAAAAAACATTAAAAAAAAAAAAAGGAGAGCCCTGTCTGGTATTGCTCAGTGGTTAGAGCGTCAGCCCAATGACTGAAGGGTCTCGGGTTCGATTTCCAGTCAAGAGCACATGCCTCAGTCTCAATCCCCTGCCCTGGTCAGGGTATGTGTGGGAGGCAACCAATCAATGTGTCTCACATTGATGTTTCTCTCTCTCTTCCCCTCCCCCTCCCTTCCACTTTCTCTTAAAAAAGCCATGGAAAAAAATATCCTCAGCTGAGGATTAACAACAACAACAACAACAACAAATAGTAAGGAGAGTGTTACTGGGGGAGGGTATTATAGAGATGCTGGGTTTTGAAATGAAAATTGTGAAAAATAGTAACCATCTCATTTGAACAGAATAATGTAATATAATTAAATACATGGCTTACAATGAAATAAGACTGTTCTTAAAATTAGTTTGAAAAAGATTGCAATTTTCTTTACATAAAATGTCACACTTTATACCAGATGAAAACTCAATGCAGTGATGTTAACATGCCATTGTCTTCCAATAAATTAAGACACAGCAAAAAACAAAGACCCAAATAACTGTGAAGAGGACACTGGGAAGTACTGTCAAGTAGTTTAGCTGCCCAGATAGCCACCCATCTAGAGGGACCATAAAAAAACACACAATACTTGTAACAGAGCTACAAGAGTATAGTGACAGGTGCTGTTACACGAATACCAATTGTGAAAGTAACAAAGTCTGTAGAGATTGTGCCTTGGGAAACAAATGGGCCCAGGAAAATAAAACCAAATAAAGAATGAACTGAAAACTAGAGGTTAAAGGTTACTATATATGAATAGAAATTTCATAGAACACAAAATTCTAAGAAAAATCAAATACTCAACAGTGTCCCCTTAACATGTATAAAAGGGAGGAGAAGGGGCACAGATAATGTTCTTGTTTTTAAAACTCTTTGGACAACAGTTTTAATAGTAAAAATCAATTTACTAAAGTTAAGTTAGTGTTCTTGACCCCCACTGGGAAAAGAACATTAAAACACACACCCCCCCAAATGAAAAGCCAATACAAGTAGCTAAAGACAAAAGTGGACAAAATAAAACAAAAGGAAGACTCAAACTAAACAAATACCAGTCAGGAAAACATATATATAAACACCTGAAAAAAAAGCTGTGGTACATTTATACAATGGAATACTACATGACCATAAAAAAGTTTTTAGGAAAGAAAATATCACCTTTTGCAACAGTGTGGATGGACCTGGAGATTATCATGCTAAGTGAAATAAGCCAGTCATAGAAAGACAAATACCATATGATCTCACTTATATGTAGAATCTAATGAACAAAAATAAACTGACAAACAAAATAGAACCAGAGGCATAGATACATGGAAGAGACAGCTGTCAGAGAGGAGCGGGGAGAGGGAGACTGGTTAAAAGAAGGTGAAGGAGTTAGCCAAAGGACATATATGCATAACCCATAGACACAGACAACAGTGTGGTGATGGCCAGAGGAAAGGAGGCACGGGGGCTGGATGGAGGTGGGCAATAGTGGGGAGGGGGAATGGGGACATCTGTAATAGTGTCAACACTAAAAATAAAGTAAAATAACTCAAACTAAACAAATACCAATTAGGAAAACACATACACAAACACCTGAAAAGAGTCTAGCTGTTGCAGTTACGTGGCCTCCTCATTACCTGAAAAATGGTATTGGCTCTTTTTTCCTGTTTACCACTAATCACATTCTGGTGATACCTTAAGGCTTATTTGGTCCAATCTGAAATACATATTGTTTTCATTAAAAGTTGTCTAATAATACTGCAATATTATTGACAGCATCTGGGATAATTTAAAACATACATTTCCATCTAGATAAGTTATTAAATACAGATGCCTTTTTATTTCCCAAGGCATCCTTTTCCTACTCATCTTTATTTTTAAAAACTTGATTACAATTTTGTCATGGCCAGTGGACCTATCCAGTCAGTTGCCTGTCCCAGTCTCTTTGGCAAAGGGGTTACACTCATCACACACAGATAGGCATGGCTTACAATCACTGAGCAGGTATGCGGAGCTGGGAGACCACACACCAAGAACAAGGCAAAACAGAGGGTACTGGTACACATGACTTCATGTTTGTTAAGGGGAAATAAAGAAGAAATCTAAAAATGAACCCATGGTTCAAAGTATTTTTTAAAACACAATATGTGTATATCATGAAGAGTGACATTAGTTTTTTCCTAACCATTTTAAGATGCTTTTGCTTCCCCTCCACTGTTACTAGATGACAACTAATAGAAATGGTCCTCAAAGCTCTGGCTCCAGGCTCTTCATCAGCGTGTGTCTAAGTTAGCATACCAAGCTGGATATAACTTAGATGCTCCGGATGCTGTTTTGGTTAACTGTAACTGTTAATAACAGTTACACAGTTTCACAAAGCATCATCATGAAGGACGCAATCCAGACAGTAATACCACATTCCAGGAACAGTTTAGCACAGAGGTATCAAGAGCATAGCAGGAAGCCCACCCTTTGAAGCAGTGTCGCTGTGCCCTATGACTTTGACATGGCAGTGGGCAGTTTCATATGCCTGCAGTTTATAAATTAGCTTTCAGTTCCATAATTTAAGGGGAGTATGGCAGCAGTACAAAATTTATCAAATTTATGTGACTCCTGTGAAATGAGGAAATACCCACTCTAGCATTACTGCCCCTAATGCCCCAATGTCTAAAGTCTGTAGGAATCAGTCACTCCCATTCTCAGAGTAGAGTACCATATCCATGGCTACAAAGCTGGATAGAAACATACTCAAAGAGTTAGACTACATATGGATGAGCCTTCATTTCACTCACAAACCCACATGAATACACCACCAAAAGGGTGCCAGGTTCAGAGCAGCTAACATCCTAACCAACTCTGAAGCATCAAAACAGCATTTCTTATTAAAACAAATCTATTGGGGGAGTTTTGTCCTTTCTTCTTAAAATTAAGGCAATGAAATGGCTACAGTTCCTAAAGTGTTTTTTTTTAATGGAACAAAAATATACATACTTTCCTCCTCAAGTTCAAGCATCAGAGTTTGACTAAAGGCCGGTACTCCACAAAACCTGTCACACCAGCCGATGTTACAAGGCCAGCAAGCACCACAGTACCTTCCCTCCTCCTGCCAAACTCAAACTGAATCACAGGGAGGAAAAGCGCCACAGAACAAAACCTCTTGAGTTTTCAGTATCTCTTGCACTGATTCAAAACTTTTGGGGTGGCAGAGGGGAGAAGTTTATTAAAATGAAAAATCCCAGAGCCCACAAACAGAATTCTGACTCTGAAAGCCTCCAGTAGGGTCTGGCTCCTCAGGTTGCAGGTGGTCAATGGACAATGTTTGAGAAACATCACCGAACATATCCACCTAATATTTTATAAAAAAAATTCTAAACTTTGGCTAGCCACCTAACGTCTGACAACGAGGGAAAAGGCACTGAACATGATTTCATGGTGCCCTTATCTGTTTGCACATATATAGAATTTCATTTTGAAGATGTTAAATCACCTTTCGAGACCTACAGAACACTTATGACCAACTGCGATAACACCAACAGCAGATGCTGATTTGAGGCTGAGCTCTCCTGTCTCACCACATCCGCTACATGTCAAATTGCCAAGGACTCCAAAACCCCAATGGCCAAGGAACTCAAGCGCAGGACAAGACTCAAGTCAACTTATAGCAATTCAGTGCACTTTGCAGAAAGGATCTAAATTAAGCATAGAGTTTTGTTCTTTATTTTACACAAAGGAGACCACCGACATTTGCCATAAATTCTTCCAAACTCTTTAGAAAAGCCATCTTCTGCTTCCGATCCAGCGTAGGTGGGGTGCTACTTGCAGTGAGCTTGTTGAAGGCATCTGCTAATCTCTGGTAAATAACTGGATCTTGTTGACTTGACAGTAATGTTTCAACCAATTCAGAGTACTCGGCCTATTGAAGAGATAAAGTGAATGTAAAAACACATCTTCCTCAAGCACCACACAAGCAGGTCACATCCGTTACCGAGCAGTGGGATTCTAAGAGGCAGGGTCTGCCAGCTCTTCTTCACAGTTAGCACACATTCTAGGTTCCATCCCAATCTTCCCCATTCACCTGTTATAACAACCCTATGAGACAAGTACTGTTTATATTCTTGTTTTATAGGTGGAAGTTCTTACAGTGAGATTACCTAACACATCCAAGATCATACGGCCTGTGAGCAAGAATCCAGGCTTTTTGACTCCAAAAGCCATGCAGTTACCTATTTTTGTTGTGTTGCCTCTTCTGTGTTTTCAAAGCACGTTACTCATGTTTGTTTTGCATTTTATACATAACCTAAGTCTGCAACCTTTGAATGTTTTCCCAGAGGTTTCTACAGACACCATGTCCACACAGTTCTGTGGAAAGCAGGTCACACAAATGAAGGTGAGAGGTGGCAATTAGGAAGAGGGTATTTCAGTCCTTTCTCAAAGTGGGAGTAGAACATTTGAATGTGCACATGCAGCTCAAATCAGCACTGTGATCAACGGCTCTGGGAGAAAGGGCAGGGAGAGGTTAAGAATTACAGGTATATTATGTGTGTGTATAGCTTTTATATTTTTAGCGTCCTCCATAATAGAGCCTTATACAGAGGAGTGGGTGCGGCATTAAAGGAAATGAAACCAGGACAGCTTTCCAAGATACGCGCTCTCTCTCTCTATTTAATCCTCACCCGAGGATATTTTTTCCACTGCTTTTCAGGGAGTGGAAGGGAGGGGAGGGAGGAAGAGAGAGAGAGAAACATTGATGTGAGAGAGACACATCCACTGGTTGCCTCCTGCACAAGACCGGATGGGGGCCAGGGATCAAGCCTGCAACCAATATACATGCCCTTGGCAGGAATCAAACCCAGGACCCTTCAGTCTGCAGGCCAATGCCCTAACCACTGAGCCAAACCAGCCAGGGCTCTCTCTCTCTTTTTTAATCCTCACCCGAGGATATGTTTCTAGAGAGAGGGAGGAAGAGGGAGAAAAACATCAATCTGAGAGAGAAACATTGATCAGTTGCCTCTTGTATGCACACCAACCAGAGATCAGAGCCGCAACCTGGGTATGTGCCCTGACCAGGAATCAAATCCACAACCTTTTTGGTGTATGGGATGACGTTCCAACCAAGTGAGCCGCCAGGCCAGTGCGATAAGCTCTCTTGGAAAAAAACTGGTTTGCCACTATTTTTCTTAGCTTCTTGGGATATCATGATGGACCAAAATGGTAAAACTGGATGTTAGTTACATTTGGAAAGGAATAGGGCACAGCACCCTACCCTACCCAGCCATGGAAACAGAGTGGCTGCCTTCACTGCCCCCTCCAAGGGGCAGGCCTGTTCACAGGGGAACAAGAATAAACTCAAACCACACCCTTGCTAATGTGAAATGACGGTGCCTTTGAGCCAGACCACAAGGACATCAGACTCACCAATCCCAAGCTCCTGCTCTCTGCTCTACAATGTATGAATATGTTTTTACAAAGGCAACCAGAATGTAATGGCTTACATATGTAGGGAAAAGGAGCCTATCTTCCTAGTAAGAACAGGAAGTCAAATGATAGAGGAAGGCCCCTGACTGCAATGGGCACCATCTTAGGAAGTGAACTCCCAAGTACCTGCACCTTGGGGCACAAACAGTACAGAAGCTGCCTGAAGGAGTTCTTCAAGTAGTATGACGACCACCTTGAAATCCTATCTTTCTAAAAAAGAAAATGAATGAAACCTTGAGTGCCAGTCACAGCAAATGTTACGGCCTCTACACTTTTTAAAAAAAGATTTTTTTTATTGATTTTAGAGAGAGAGGAAGGGAGAGGGAGAGAGAAACATCAATGTGAAAGTGAAACATCCATCGGCTGCTTCTTGCATGCCCCCTACCAGGGATCGAGTCCACAACCAGGCATGTGCATCCTGACCAGGAACTGAACCAGCAACCTTTCAGTGCATGGGACAATGTTCCACCAACTAAGCCACACTGGCCAGGGCGGCCTCTACACTTTTAAAAAAAAAATCTTAGTTTCTCTAGCCAATCACTTGGTCATGCTGCGGGGAGCGGGGGAGGCGGGGGGCTAATTCTTTTCATATACTTGTTGGGCACTTACAATAAGGAAGGGACACAGGTGAGCCAGCACAACTTTTCTTCTGGTACATTAGCCCCACATCAGTGAGTGCTTCAGTCTTTAAGGA